TTTTCTTTTTTAATAAATCTGCAAAAATGTCAACAATTCTGTGTTTTTCTGTCAATATGGGGTGCTGTGTGTACATTAATGAGGAAAAAAAATTAACTTTTAGCAAATTAGCAAATGGCTGCAATTTAACAAAGAGTGAAAAATTTAAGGGGGCCTGAATACTTTCCGTACCCACTGTATATATATATATATATATATGACAGTGCTTTATAGCGTTTGCTTTTGCTTATTTATTTTGATAGAATTTATTTTATTTATTTAGTATTTTTATTTACATAAATATATATATAAATATTACGTATTATTCTTTTTTTTAATATAGATTTTTAAAATCTAATTGAGTTTATCATTTAAGTTATATTTAAACTTAAAGGAAACCCACTGTTAAAAAGACAATTTTTTTTATATATACTATACAATGTGTACAGCACAGTAGTATTTCATTTTTAAAAAGTCCTTGCTTCTAGGTAATAAGTAAGAAGTATAAGTTATATTTTAACATAGTGAGTGCTGTTAACACTAATGATGTGCCTAATGTCCCATGGAGCTTTAGTTTAGTATCACACACTGTTTCTGGTCGTGTTATTTCAGGACAACGAGTACTTCAACTCCCTCCGATGGATCTTGGAGAACGACCCCACAGATCTGGACCTCAGGTTCACCATCGACGAGGAGCTCTTTGGACAGGTGATCTATTCTGCGCTAAAAGTAGTCCATGCAACTTTATAGTCCAAGACTTCTGAAAGCATACGGCAGCTTTGTGTAAGGAACAGACCGATGTTTAGGTCATTAAAAAATTACAAACATTTCAGGTTAACTATTCTTTTAAAAGACCCCAAAGATATGATTTGTGTAGGTAAATATATTCTGATATTGATCCGATCTCTTCCACAGACGCACCAGCATGAGCTGAAACCAGGAGGTGCTGATATTGTGGTCAATGACACCAACAAAAAGGAGTATATTCAGTATGTTTTACCTCCCTCTAGTGGCACATAGACAAACCACAACACATTTTCATGTGGGACAGGCTTCAAGGTGTAATACTATGTCCTGTGGTGTTTCTTTGCAGTCTGGTGATGCAGTGGAGGTTTGTAGATCGGATCCAGAGACAGATGACGGCCTTCAAGGAGGTACAGACCCTCGTTCAGTCGCTTTGGGTCACTGCCGCCCACCCAGAGTTTGACTGACTTATGTTTTATCTGCAGGGTTTCTATGAGCTGATTCCTCAGGACCTGATCAAGATCTTTGATGAAAACGAGCTGGAGGTGAGACACCGTGTGAGACTTTTGATGGTGCGTAGCTTGATTCATGTGAGCTCTGAGAACCTGAGCGTCTCTGTGTTCCTCAGCTGCTGATGTGTGGCTTAGGAGACGTGGACGTCAACGACTGGAGAGAAAACACCAAATATAAAAATGGCTACAACCCAAATCACCCCGCCATCATCTGGTTCTGGAAGGTCAGATTTGATTGTTTTTGTTTTGTTTTGTTTTTTATTAAGTCAAATCACATAAACTTTTGTACTTTTGCAACTTTTTAAGGTTAAACTTAAGTCTTATAAATAGGGCTGGGGGATTAATATAATTATTTCAATTACATTTTTGGCTTTGAGCTGAAACAATTATTGTGCCGCATTCAGTTTAGTCTGGTTTTGCTCTTGTTTTGCCTTTTTTGTTATAAATTCAGCACGTCTCTTTCCCATACAGCAGTACACTTTCACCCTTCCTTAAATGTCTAGTACTTTTCAGTAGCTTGTAGAATTGCACTAAAACAAAATAGTTGCTCTTTATTTTTAACAAATGTATTTATTTATTTATTTTATATATTTTTATTTATTTATTTAAATATATATATATATATATATAAATTAATACATTTTATTTGTTTTATTTATTATACGTTTTTATTTACATTTTATCTTTCATCTACTATTTATTTATTTTTATTTGTTTTGTAAATTTGTTTTATTTATTTTTGTTTTATTTTCAGTTGGATTTAAATTTCAAGGAAATCCACTGTCAAAAAGTTCAATAAATGCATAATGTTTCTAAAGTCTTCGACTAATTGTGATATAATAATCGTAATCATGAAATAACCATGATCACATTTATGTATATACATTATATATAATTTATTTAATTGTTTTTTTCCCCCTCCAGTTGAATTATATTTGATATTCAGGGATATCCATTGTGAAAAAGACATTTAAAAAAAAAAGGTTAAATAAATGCATGATGTTTATGAAGTCTGTGCGTAATCACGAAATAACCGTAATCTTAGTATTGAACAAACAAAATAATTGTGATTCTGACTTTTGCCATAAATGAGCAATAACAGTGATTTTGATCAGGATTAAGTGTTGTTGTTGTGCATAGCAAGTACACTATTGCACCACGCTTACATTTATTATTACTGATAATCAGAAGGAATTTTTTTAATGTAGCAGCTCGTTGTTGATGGTATTTCAGACGGTGTTGCTGATGGATGCAGAAAAGCGAATCCGTTTGCTGCAGTTTGTGACGGGAACATCCCGTGTACCAATGAACGGCTTCGCTGAGCTCTATGGTAAGCCCCTCCCCCCCAAATCACAATGCTCATTAATATTAATGTTTGTGCCGGCTTCTTCATTTAATGGATTTTCAGTTTGTTCAGTAAAGTGCAATGCTGTGTTTCTCTGATTGATCAGGATCCAACGGGCCGCAGTTGTTCACTATTGAACAGTGGGGCACGCGGGACAAACTGCCCCGAGCGCACACCTGGTGAGAGATCTGTGTGTGTGTGTCTGTCTGTCTACCTGTCTGTCTCTCCTGTCTCATTCATGCGTCTCTCCATCAGTTTCAACCGCTTGGATCTCCCTCCGTACGAGACGTTCGAGGAGCTCCGTGAGAAGCTGCACATGGCCATCGAAAACGCTCAGGGCTTTGATGGTGTGGATTAGACTCCGGCTGCCACGGCGACAGCGTAACCATGGTGACAGCATCACGACTCTCGTGTGTTTAAAGCGGGCGGCACACGTGTGCATGCGGCTCTATGGGAAACAAGGTCCGGCGAACACGGTGTTATAAAATCACAAATCTGTATGTTTATGATGTTTACAGAATAAGGTTTTGTAATGTACTCCTGCATACAGCTGTATGTTTCTACGTACAAGATTTCTAAACATCTATAGATTTGATCATATCTATGCATTTGAGCATAATTAAGGAATTGTATATTTCTAATATGAGCTTTTAAGTCACGCATTATGGATGTGCACTGTTTGGCTGATGAGATTTCCCAAAATGCACAATATGAGACCATACTTTTTTTGGGCGATCTGTACAAAAAATTTCCTTTTTTTTTTGTTTGTTTTTAGTTGAAATTCAAAGGTATCCAGGCATCATTGTTTGTACTATTGCTCTTAATCATGACTTTTTCTCACTTTGACTTTGTTTACAGGTTTGTTTGTTTACAGATAGCCCACTTTTGAAAACCATATGCTTATTAAAATAATTTTTTGTACAGCTTGTGAACGTTGAAGCACTTTTCTAAAAACAAACGTTTCAAGTCTTACTATGTATAGCTCACCTCAGTCAAGCTGTATTGTGACAAATCATTGCTTCGTATCATTTACTAAATGTTTACAGCTTAAATATTGCTTAAAGTAAGCACATTTTGTCTCGCAAGAAACGTATTGGACTGTTAAATAACTTTGCCTTCATTTTGTAATATGAAACTATTTGATTCTGTGTGCTGACGAGCAACTTTTAATGAAGAAACACTTTTATCGTGGACACTGTTGTATAATTAGACACTATTATATGAACGGCCACTGCATTTCTACAAAGGTTTTTGGCACAGATGAGAGTGAGTTTCAGAAAGGGTTTTCTATCAGAGATTTATGAGCAAACGTGTCTTTCATTTTAATGTCAATTGTGCTGATTTTAATTGTCACGCCGATCTTTATGGCTACTTGTTTTTTGAAAATTAATAAATTGAAAACGACTCTTCCGATATGATGTCTTCATTGAGGTTTATGTGGTCTTTATTTGCAGTGCATACTAATACAAGTCTTTAATTGTTATTAGTAAAGCAGCTGTCATAAAGCATATTGTTTCAAAGCAACTTTTACAGGATACGCCCGCAAGTGAACAGATGAAGGTGAATGTAGCACAGAAAAAATCCTGAAGATGTTTAAGAACGAAAGGGAAGCGCAATCCTCTCTTGGAAGGTGCATCATTTAATACTTATTATTATAATACAAATGGTATTGAATGATATTTATTTTTTATATATCTATTTATATTTGTGTTTTTTATATGTATTCTTATACAAATGGAATCAAATGTTTTATTTATTATTTTTATTATTATTGAATTATAACATTATACAAATAAAATGTTTGTTTACACATTTATATATATATATATGCATCGCAATATCGATGTAAACTTTTAGGATGCTCGTGGTATAATTCTTTATTGATCTAATAATTAGATGAAGCCTGTAGGCCTATATACTTTTTTTTGCGGGAACTATACCTTTACTTTGAATAAATTACTGGAGTTAATCACATTAAAATGTATATAAAAATATACTGTTAAAGTAGTAAAATCCTCAGAGCTGTGCAGAGAGAGTTTACAGCAGGAGTGAGTGGCAATGCTGTTGTTTCCCCCTTTTCTCTCTCATCCCCCTTTATGCCCACTGCTGCTGCCCCACAATCCTTCAGAGGTCAGCTGACGGGTCACACACCATTTAATTCAACCTCTGGGACACTGCTGGGGTCAGAGGGGTGTGGCTTTCTGCCGAGGGGGCGGGGTGATGTGGGAAAGTGTCCAATGAGAACGGTCTTAGAATACATGCCGGATCTTCTTTCGCTCTGTTGTGAGAATCTCATATTGATTTGATCTCTTATTGATCAGATTAGCATATTATCAGCTGCTGTTTCCAAAATGAAATGGAACTAATGGCATGGTTTTTCCGCAGATACAGATAACTGCATGATGGTGATGCAGCAAACTGATTGAGGTTTTCTAAACTACAGTAGAATTTATTCAGTCACACTTTTTATTGCAAGATTTATTCAGTTTTTACTAAGACATAATTATTAATGCTGATTATTATTTTATTATTATTACTGATCATTATGTTATATTTTATTATTATTTCTCATTATTCATATATTTATATATATATATATGCATGTGTATTTGTGTGTGTATATATAATGTTACATATATATATATATATATATATATATATATATATATATATATATATATATAGTGTGTATGTGTGTGTATAATTGTTTTATAAATTAAATTAAATGAAGTATATATATAAACCTTAAATGTGATTCATATATATTATTAAATATTAAATATGTATATTTATGTTATTACAGATAGATGGATATCTTAATCATACAATAATCATTAGTATTTGTAATTGTGTGTGTGTGTGTGTGTAGAGAGAGAGAGAGGGAGAGATAAATGAGATGTATGAGATATAAATGTCCATTTATAATATAATTACATTATATATTCCTGTATAGTTGACTTCTGGGAAGTTTTGTACAGTGTGACATGCATTCAATATAAACAAGACCAGATATAAAAACATTTTGCCCTTTTTTATATGTGCTGTATATGATTTTAATTGAAAGACTAAATTATATATTTGTTCTGTTATGAATTCCTTTGTCAACGCAGGACCATTTAAAATGAACTAATGAAGGCATAAAAATTATAAATAAATGGCAAAAAAACTTGAAGATCAATTATAGGATAAAAACAACAGATGCAGCTTTGTGTTTTTAGGAATGGCTGAGTTGAAGTCTGAGGTGAGTTTGCTGTTTCTCTGTGTTTGCTGACTGTGGGAAACTGAACTCAGGCTCTTTTCTCCTGATATTCACTAAACAGATCCATTGTTCTTCCTGACCTGTAGTCCGAGCAGAACTATTGTCCGGAGGGAGAGGAGGTCACACTTCTGCTCCACACCGACAGAGCGACCGAAGAGCAGATCAATACTGTTCCTTCAGTCTGCAGCTGTCGAGCTGAACACATCGATACTGGGCAGATCTGGATCTGTTTCATCAGCTGGCAGAAACCAGTGCTGTTAACACTCATTCTGTCTGAAATAACTGACCAACACACACACACACACACACTCACTCACTCACATACACACACTCACTCACACATCAAATAGTTGTATCAGATTCCAGATTTTCACATAGATGTATCATAACATCCATACATCAATGGAAAGCTTATTTATTCAGCTTTCACATCTCTATTTAAAAAAATTGACCCTTATGACTGGTTTTGTAGTCCAGGGTCACATATATACAGTATATATATATATATATATATATTCTATTGTCTTTTTCATATGAACAATGTATATTATATTTTTAATGCAATTGAATTGGTTATATGTTTTTGTAAGAACTATAGTACAATGTATAAAATACATGGTTATAATAAATAATTTCATAATTGAATGACGATCTCTTCTGTTAATGCAAAATTAAGTGATTAATTTGTACAGGTAAGTGGTTTGTAAATCAATGACTCCCTGTGAAGCAAATGTCAACATGATGCTCCAGAACAACCACCCACACACACACACACACACACACACACACACACACACACACACACGTATATGTTGAATATAATTTTATTTATTAACACAAATAGTTCTGACTTCCTTAATATTGTTTTGAGTTATTTAAAAATCTAAATGATTGATGATTTTGAAAACGTCTTTCAATCAATAAATGTGTTGAATATAAAATACATTTATAAATGTATATATATATATATATACACACATACACACACACACACACACACACACACATATATACATCGCTCGTGTTTATATCTGCTCGTGAATATCAATCTCTGAACATCTGTTTTCAGAAGTGGGAATCCCTGTGACGTCACGCCGCTCGTGGAGCATTCCGCAGGCGGAGGAATCTCCTCACTCACTGATGAGCCGCGTCACGCCACGCGCTCCGGGATCGGTGTTCGTCCGCGGAAGTAGTGCGCACGCAGCGGTCAGCGGCATCGCGCGCTCCGTTCAGCCAGAAGCGTGTGGAGCTCGAGTCCGCGACCCACGGGCTCAGGCATGCGCGGACCACCAGAGTAAATGGCGTCTTTTAAAACGGATTTATTCCAGCGTCTGCTGTTTCTTGCAGTGTTTCTATCAATCTCAGGTAAGAGCGTTTATCTCATATTTGCACAAACAGGAATGAGTTATGAATGAACCTCAGGATGTTTCGTGACTTAAATGAGCAGGATGAGGGATTTCATGCACTGAAACCTAAGAATTATATAGAAAAGACCATTAAATGTATATTTAATTACACTTTTTTCATAAATATGTGATTGCATACAACAGAGCGTTAAATACATATAGAGATCCACTGATTGATTCACTCACGCGCACGGAACACAATGTAACAAACTTCAAAGCAGCGTCGGGAATTATGCAAATGTTCAATGTTAAGAGATTAAAATGATTCTTGCATCACAATGTCTTATTGCACATTCTGATTTTCTTGAAGTGTCTTTAAATTTCATTTCACAAACATTCTTGTAACTGCTTCTTGCATAATCAAATAGTTGGTAATATCATGAAGCTTTATGCATATTCAGAGGTGAATGTTTATGAACATCAAAGAAGTGAATCATAATCTGAAATAGAGCTATTTAATATAGAGAAAGCTATCTGAGCTATCACTTTGATATTAACAAGCTTTCTTGCACAATGTGATGCAGATCAGATTATTAGTGAATCATTGCATCATAAAGCTTTTTTCATATTTATGCATTTTCATATCTGACTTAATACAATATGACTGCCGATATATTAAACGTTTATAATAGTTGAAACATTTTATATTGTGAAAATGACACCAAAGTGCCAATATTTTTTACTCTTCTGCATTTAGATGTTTTTTTTCTTCCTTCTCTTTATTTCTCGTTGTGCACAAAAAGAACATTTCAAGCCGCTTTATAACTTACGAAGAGCGATGCATCTCATAAAAATGCTAAAATGTTCCCAAGTCATAAATGCATAACATTATATTCTTGAAATGCTTTCTTTGAATCCTTTAATAAAGTGTTTTTATTTCCATTTTTATTCTCCTGCTTGTCCTGCTCTCGTAGCAGCTCTAGTCACGGTGGGCTGCTAAATGTCTAGTGAATTTCATGCTGGGAATAAATTACAGCTCTTCTTTAGACGAGGATCGAGTCTCTTCTGACTTCATGAGCCATGAATAAGGGGATTACGGTCGAATATGATTACTGCATCTCAGAGTCTCACTCAGTGGCAACAGTTTGACTCGCTTTCTTCTCTCTGTCTCTGCAGGTGTGATGAGTTTTAGTGAGCTGTTTTTTATAAAGGAGCCCCATGATGTGACGGCGATGAGGAGGGACGCTGTGATTTTGGACTGTCAGGCCCACGGCGAGGCTCCCATCGGCATCCGCTGGCTGAAGAACACAGCGGCGCTCACAGAGTCGGAGCGCGTTCACCTGCTCACCAACGGCTCTCTGTTCATCTCAGAGGTGGAAAGCCGTAAGGACAAATCAGATGAAGGGTTCTACCAGTGCCTTGCCCAGAACAAATATGGCTCTATTCTGAGCCAGAGAGCCCGCTTGACTATCGCAGGTAAGTTGCATTGGTGTTTTTGCCCCGATATGTGTCAGTGTTGCTCAGATGTCTTTTGAGATTAAAGGAATAGTTCACCCAAAAATGGGTCAATGGCTCAGGACATCCAAAATGTAGATGAGTTTGTTTCTTCATCAGATTTGGATAAATGTAGCATTGCATTACTTGCTCAGGGTGCCGTCAGAATGAGAGTCCAAACAGCTGATAAAAACATCACAATAATCCACAAGCACTCCAGTCCAGCAGTTAATGTCTTGAGAAGCCAAAAGCTGAAACAAATACATCATTATGATGTTTTTAACTTCAAAACCGTCACTTCTGGCTAA